TTTTTTCTGCTTTGGTGTGTTTATGATGTCTGCGAGAGTCGTGCTCACCTCAGTTTGTGTTTTTCTTGTTTCTGTGTGGGTTCTCTCCAACTACTCCACCCAAAAGCGTGTAGTTACTGGGGTTAGGTTGATGATTCTAAACTGACTGAAGGCGTGAACTGTTGTCTGTGTTAGCTAGCAAAACTATTTTTAACTATGAATAATGCAAATTGACTCTAGTAGAATGCAGGAATCAAAATATTGAGTTAGAAATAAACTTAAGACACCACATCACCTATTTTAATCTAACCCATTTTATGATAATTTCTCCCTCCAAGCCAGCTCTACCCAACTCCTTGCAATGTTTCCCACTTTGCTGAGGGGCAAGTTAAATTTAACTTCAGCAAAATTCTGCTCCCTCGTTTCAGAGAACCTCTTTTAGCCCCCCACCCCCGTACGTCTGTGTCCATATTTAACTTTCGTCCTCCCGCTTTCTCTCCTTCCCTCAGGCCAGCCATCCACCCATAGCTTCTTCCTCTGCCTTCAGCCCCGCACTCAACATAGAAAGCCAAGGGTCCTGCACCCCTGTCATCATGTGCCGCAGTCCAACAGGTAAGCCTAAATTCATGAAGCATTTGTGGACTAGCTTTTAGTCCAGTTTGAACAGAATGATACGCCAGAAGTGGATGAGTTCATTTTCTAATGAGCATTTCCTTTGTTTCCTTTCCGTCTCCTCCCTTTTTTTCCTTCCACAGATGGAAAAACTAAGACTTCACCGAGGTCAAACTTGAAGTTCCGCTTTGACAAAATGAGCCACTCATCCACGACTGTAAGTCTGATACTTGAACACTGCCTTGTTAAGATTTTTCAGTAGGATATTTCCAACTTTTCGAGACAGAAGCTCCATAAAACTTTTAAAGGGAGAAAGTTCGACATTGAAATTAAGATAATTATGGCAGAACGCTGGCAGCAATGCCAAAAAGTCCCCTGGTGTGTGTGTGTCTGTCTGTTTTTTAACACTTTGTCTATCTTAAAGACATCTCATTATCTCTGGAACTCTGTAATGTGACTGAAACACTCAAGCTGATGTTGGGTAATAAGCCCGGACTGAAAGACGTGTACTGAACGCTCTCTTCTCTTTTGTTTTTTTTTGTTCCCTCTCCTCTCTTTCAGTCTGAGTAGCTTTGGGTGGAACGGAAAAACCCCCAACCTTGCACAATGAAGGGACAGCGCCTGCTGACAGAGCTGCAAAAAAATAAAACAACGACAACAAAATTAAAAAGTCACAACAACAACCACAAAATCACTGTAGAACTACTTCCCAATGCCAAGGATAACCTGAGAAGGTTACCGAGTCCCCCGCACACTATAATCTAACTGAAACTACTGTGAGTATATAGGGAGGAGAAGCAGCTGACATTTTGGCTTTTGTTTCTAACCAGTCTTTAGCTACAGATTAGTCGATGCTCGCTGCACCGTTGCTCATCCACCTTTCGTGAGGGTCTTTGGCGTGGCTGTGATACTGTGAGTTCAAGCCGAGCTCGGCTTTTTTTCCTCAAGCGTCATGTTTGATAGAGAGAAACACGATGACCACCTAGAAGAATTGTGACACGAGTTTATGGCCGAACTGTTAACCTTTATTTCACTGACTGTTGAGTGCCCAGTGGAGGAAGAAAAAAAAGAAATCATTAGCCATCAGGATGTATTTGCCTTCGCCCTTGAACAGACGAAAACTGCGCACAGAAGACTCGCAGTAGCAAGACCTCGGAGGCGCCGCGGCTGGGAGTCTTCTCCACTGTGCTCTCTGAGCTTGTTCTTTGCATAATGTAAATGCTTTTTTCAGAGAACAAGTTTTGATTTCGCCGAGGCTTTTTGTAATCCCGCTAGCTGCTGCATTGTGTCTACTGCACTATAAACGTGACGTGTCTCCTCCTAGGACAGCATTTCTGTATCCATAGGGGCAACTTCATAGACTTGAACTCAAGAGCAGGGTGGGGGGCGCGGGGTGGGGAGGGGCACTGCCAACACATTTTGCCACAAGCTTCTTTTAGCCAAAGCTGCGCCTTACAATCTATCACACACATAGAAAAAGCCCTTTTCGCCGCTGACACGTTCTTTCTCAGCCTCCGTCTCGTCTCTGTGCGTCTCACTATGTGAGAGGACGGGGATCTGGTTACAGCACAGCCGAGCTACACCCACATTTGCTCAAAGTAGATGTTGCACTCAGTGAAAACATTTCACCTTCTGATACCTCCCATTGAAACGCGCTAGCTCGGTGTATCGGCGTGTACGTACGGCGGCTCTTTAGGACATCTCCGTGGTTTTTCCCAGGATGTGAGCTGATGAGGATGACTTGAAAAATATGAAGTTCAGGTTATAACGAACCACCTATGAAGTTACAAAAAACACTTTGAATGTAAACTATGAGCCTTTAAAAAAAGGACTTAGCTGTTGCAAAAAAACAAGTAAAAACTGCAAAGTCGGGTGCTCGCAGGCACAGAAGGACCACGGGTCTAATCTTCAACTGACATTAGCCTGGAAAAGAAGCATAAAGACACACACATTCGCTTCCAGTGTGACCAAAAACAATCAAGCTGGTGTGTGTTAATGTCGGTGCAATCTTACTGTGTAGGGAACAGTTCCTGTAGTTTAGGCTGGCCTAAGAGTGTAAAAGGTTTAATAGCTAGTTTCACCCAAATTACAAACGCCCTCTGTGATTTACATGTAGGTCACCTTTTAACTTGCCAGGAAGCTGTTCTAACTTGAGTAGTACCTTTCTAATTTATCAGGACTAGAGGCAGGCGTGTTGCCAAACACACGCTGCCCTCGGTCGGTGATTACCTCGAGTAAGGGAAGCAGGGATAGAAATCCTCTGGGAAAGTTCAGATGTCATATAGTTTGTAGCAGGTGTCGCCTAAAAAAAAAAAGCCCTGCAGCCTTTCCTTTGTTAATACGCTTAAGTTATTAAACTTTTTTTGCATCGATGTCATGTAAAAATTGTTACTGCAGAGTACGCTAATTAACGGTGAAATGATTAAAGGAAATATATTAAGTTAAAAGATGTCTAAACATGTATATGTATATTTGGTTATGTAATGTGCCATTGAGAATTTATTCTAAAATAAAATGTTGTATTTTGTGTCATATTTGTGTTGTTTCAGGTTTTCTGTTGTTTTGTGTTTTTTAATGCAATCTCTCCACACGGGTGCTTTTCTTGTCTATACTTTAATGTGTAATATATTTGAACATGTGAGGGAAGTTTGTTTCACATTTTGTTGAAACTGCAGCACCATCACATTATTCTGACAGCAGTTAATGTGGTCACATTTTTAACAATTCAAACCAGAAGATCTGTGAAATTGTCTCACAAAGCAAAGTCTGCTTACTGTAGCGCCTCAGGGTGGTACTGCTGGGCGATGCAATATCTCCTTATTATATGTAACATTACATGAAAGTGATCCTTTTTTAAAGTGGCTCTTCCTACCTAAAGTAGTCCCATACAGTCCTGTGGAAAAGTAAGTCCACACTGTTATTAAATAGCTTCCAAAATCAACTTTAGCAGCTGTAGTTTGAACATTTGACATTTTTTAGTCTCTTACATCCTTGTGGATGAATTGTGGCCCGCTCTTCTTTGCAATGTTGCTTCAGTTCATTGAGGTTTGTTTATGCACAGCTCTCTTAAGATCCCGTCGCAGCATATCAGTCGGGTTGAGGTCTGGACTTTGACCAGGTCGTGGCAACACATCAATGTTTCTCTTTCTCAGCTGTTCTGTTGTAGATTTGCTGCTTTGCTTGGAATTATTGCCCTGCTGCATGACCCAGGTGCAGCGCAACTTTAGCTGTCACATTGATGTCCTCACATTTGACTCTACAATATTTTGGTATTCAGGAGAGTTAATGATTGACTTACTGACTCCAAGGTTCCCAGGTCCTGTATCTGCAAAACAAGCCAAAAACATCACCCCTCCACCACCGTGCTTGAGCTAGTATGAGGTGTTTGTGCTGATATGCTGTGTTTGGTCTTTCCCAAACATGGTGCGGTACATTACAGCCAAACAGCTGCACTTTGGTCTCATCTGTCCAAAGAACATTGTTCCAGAAGTCCTCAGATTTATTCAGATGCAATTTCATAAACCTAAGTCATGCTGCTATGTTCTTTTTAGAGAGAATACGTTTTCTTGTCTTAAAACATCCAAAAAAAAGCCATGCTCATCTGTTTTGTTCGTTTTTATCCACATCTAACCCAGCCCGCTGATTCTGTTATGTAGTTCTTCCCGGCAGCAGCAATTGCTTCTTTAAGAACATTGCTGATGTCTTCCCTCCTTGGCATTGTGTTCACACACCTGAATGCTCCAGACCTCCAAACTGCCCAAACCTCGGCTCTCATCAAGGCGTTCAGACCTGGTGATCAGTTTATCAGATGCATTTGATCAACTGCACCTGGCTGCTACTTACTCTTTTAATTCCTATGGAAGCAGCAAAGGTCTTAGTTTTTCATAGGACTGCACAGAGTCCCGAGAAAACCTTCTGACAGGACTATACATGTGTTTTGGTTTTTTAGAAGGAAGCTGCATCTGTGGTGAGAGGCTCCTGCTCAGTATGACAGTATGGTAGGAGATAATAAGCACAGGCGTTTCCCTCTCTCCTCCTGTCCTGTGTTACTAGCTAGCTGCTGGCTTGTTTCGGTCAGGTGATGTGGCTGGCGGTTGTAATTTGGCAGGAAGAGTAGTTCCTACATGAAACTGCTCAGTACAGGGAGATTCATCTGTAACTAGCACCTCACACCCTCCCCCCACAAAAAAAATCTAGATGGAAAAATAGCAAATATGGGCCAGAGGGAAAAACTTGTGTTTGATTCTGTGGTAAACTGTCACTTTAAAGACTTCACAAAATACAGAGTATCAAGGTTGTATCAAAGATGCAGTTTGCAAAAAACAAAAACAAAAAACACAAATAGTGGCAGCTACCACATTCAGTGTTTTGTAAAGATGTATATATAAAATGATATAACTTTATGATTTAATTCATAAAAATAATGCGTAACTCCATTAGTGGTTGTCAAATTTGAGGGATGAGTAGACAGTTGCAGAATGGGCAGGTTGTCTCGTGGCTCCCTGCTGCTTCAGTGCACCTTGTGAAATCACTGCATACATCACCTGTAACATTGTGAAAAGTAAGGGGGGGAGGGGGGGGGCACGGTTTAGGAGATGCAAGCCTGTCAGCGAGTTCACAATGTTCAGGGACTGTTTCAAAACAGTACGTTCACTTACTTCTGGCTTCCTCTTGACTTTAGGTGGAACTGCAAAAAACAAAAAAAAGAAGAAAAGACAGCATGGTAAAAATTGCCGTTCTGAGTATTGCCTCATAACAGGTTAACAAAAGGAAACACACAGGATATACCTTTGGGAGGGGATGTTTTGCATTTCTGTGGTACCGGGCATCGAGGTGGAGGTTGTGGAGCCGAGATGGTTTGTTGGGCTGGGTATGGAACTTCATATATGACCTGTGCCCTGGGAAGTGGCTGTGGTTTGACCTCTGAGCTCAGACAGCGAGCCAATTCCAGGATGATGGGAAGGCAGAGTAATGCACAAGCACAGATCAAAACCCTGTGCAGGAGTTTCCTTGGAGAGGGACCTGTGATGAGAGCTATATGATGAGGAGGATACATGACAAGCAGTAAGACCTGCTGGCCAAAATGCAGATGCACTGTGATGCACTTCATTATATGTCATTCTCTGTACCTGCGGTAATGTTCACGTGCGTGCGATGTCCATTTTCACTTACACCTGTATCCCAAACAACCATGCATCCATAGGAACCTTCATCCGACTGGTTGACACTCTGGATGTTTAAGAATAGCTTTGTCTGACTGGCTGAAATTGTCTTGTTGGTCAAATGGTGTCTCTCGCTTTCCTTCACAGGCTTCCTAAAATCATATGTTGAATTTTCCCACATCCAGGCACCGGTCCAGTTGTTTCCACAGTGATGAACTACACAGGACAATGACAAGATGCCCCCTTCTGGCACATAATACATCTCACGTTTTGCCAAAATACTAAGCTGGCATTCTTCAGCACAGAGACCTAAAAGAAGGAATTAAGATTTAAGTCACTGTAGCGAAACGTGAATGTGTAGCCAAGGAAACTCGTGCAGTTTGGTGCTCCTTTGTCCCAATCTGGTTAGATTATAACCACTAAAACACATTAATAATCAGGGAACATAAACACACACACACACGCACATGTTTTTGTTTAACTTGGTACATCTGCTAATTTCCATATGCAGTGAAACACACGTCATTCAGAATAAAACACGCATATGGCGGCCACATTTAAAAGGCACGGAGCTTAACAAACATTTCAAAGAACTAGACGCACGCAGTGCGCTTTGGCATGACCGTGATTACCACAGCTTTTAAGGCAAACACATGGCAAATGGCATCTTATTATAGAATACTGAAGATGGAGAGTTCACACGAGTGCTTTAACAAAACAACCCCCCCCCCCCAAAAAAAAAAAAAAAAAAAAAAACCCAAAAAAACAAAAAACAAACCTTAAGGCAAGAAGAGAAACTTTCTTTTATGTAATGAGAACTTTGGTCAGAGTTTCAAAAAGAGATCACTTACCAGCATGGAAGACATAGACGAAGCTGATGACGCCGAGGAGACAGGTATACATGTCTGACTGTAAGGATGTGTTTAACGGTGTTTTTGTCTGCCGTTCATCACTTCTCCTAAGAGTTTGTGCTTACATTTTACGGCTGATCCTTAAATGCTGCCACACTTTCTGGAAATCTGAGTGGGCTCACGGTATTTCACTTTCTTTTACTCAGTAATTATGTTGTATTTCCTTTCTCCTGCTGTTGTTCCAATCCGGTCAGAGATGAAGGAAGTGAACACTTACCCACACATGCAGGCACAAGCACACACACGCAAAACTGAAATACGGGAAGCAGTGATCTCATGAACAGGAATATAACATTTCCTGCAGGAATGGGGCCGGCTTCAAAGAACTATAATATGAAGAGACAAAAGAGAACAGAAACCAGCAAATCCTTCTCCTTCCGATTTCTGTGCAGGTTTTGATTAACATTTTAGTCCAGAGACCTTGATTAAGGCATAAATGGCTGATTATGTGGTTATTCGGAGTTTACAGATCTCTGACAGCTGAAGCTGAATAGCAGCTCGGTGGTTTTCAAACTTTGGCATCTCCCACTTCAAAAGCCAAACAAGCACTACTCCTACTAAAAATAAATAATTAAAAAAGAAAACATTGAATATTTTACAGAAATTAACGGTTTTGGTAGCGTATAATTGATGTATATGATAGAAGGGGGTTAATAGTGTAAGACAAGCTCGCAGAAATGACCTTTCCACAAATACACTATATTCTGTCACGGGGACTCAGATGGCACCAAATATTAGGAACGACCCACTTGCATTGGCTGCATAGTTTACCGCTGTTACTATAGTGAAAGTGCTTGTGTTCTCTTTATTTCAGAAAATAGCATGGGGAAAGTTTTTTACGATTACGTTTCTGTTGTACTATTAACGCGCAGGTAGGGATTTTCCATTCGGAGTACAACTGAAAATCTTCAAAGTAAACGCTTTGGTTACCTTTGAAGGGAATATACTCGCATGTAAGTGATTTAAGCACATACAGTCCCCATTTCCTGCTAAGTCCTATGTGACTCTTGTGTCGCTAAAAAAGCGCTGCACGTGATCTTATTTTGAAAACCGGACGTTTCGTATGCAGTAAATCTTTCAGGTTTAACTTTTGGGAGCGCTTGTTTATCTTCCACAGTGCTGTGCAGGAAATACAGAGGAAGTGAGAAGGATGCTTCCTTTTGGAAAGAAACTAAAAAAAATTACAGACGCCAGAAGTGAGTGTTATTACTTTAGTTTAATTTTGCCTACATTTACAGCTGAGGTTATTATTCATGCGATTTAGCTGAGAAACCCACAGAGGCTGAAAATGGTGGCTAAAGTTGAGTATATCTAATGTTGTCCCTTTCTCTGTAACATGATTTGCATACATGGGCAAAAAGTGTTCACACTGAACAATTACTCCTTTGTAAGCTACTAGCAGGAAATGTTGACTAATTAGGAAAACAGTGTAAAAATATTTGTTTTATTTCCTTACTTTGTTACAGATAACAGCTTTTTATTTTTAAGCTAAATTTTGAGTAGAACTACACTAAACTAAGTTAGATTTTATATTCTTGAATAAATAAAGAGTAAAATGCGTGCAGTAGAGATGTAAATGTGAGCAGGGAAAGGGACTGTGCCCTTACAAAGTATGTGAATCGTCTTCATGAGCTAATGTTGTCTGCATTGTTTTCAAACCCCGCCCAGCCGCCACGTCAAAGACTTAGCCAGGAGCCCATAAACGAGCGCACCCCGTGGTCACACTGACAGACTGTCGGTGAGATAAACAAAGAGCCGGCGACTTTCCTGGACAACAGTTGACGCTCCTCAAGCTTCTCGGCAACATGGAAACTGGTAGGTTAAATGTCACTGTGTCCCCTCTCAGTGTTTGTGGCTGCCTGGATGAGTGGAGCTTGCATTTGGTTGCAGGAGAATGACAGCTAACCGAGCTAACCCGTTAGCATTCACTGCGTTAGCATGCCAGCCTGCTAGCACGACTTTATGCCGTCCATCCCTCTGTGAGCTAGGTTGACAGTTCACCCCCCCGACGGGTTATGGGGTTGTCAGCACGGTGCCAACATCACAATCTTAAATACATTAATCTTGCTCCTCTGCTCAGGCGTTAGGAACTCTTTCCAGGAACGGGATTTATTAGCCAGAGAGTAGCTAGCTCGTCTTGGAAATGCCACAGTGACTCTTTAAAGTCGTGGCCATTCATGGAAGCGAGAGTTCTGTTTGGGGAACCCTGCTTTTTACCAGAAAAGAGAATAGTTTCATTCATTTTTCAGTAGCTCTCAATAACCACCCCAATCAGCCGAGGAATACTTTGTACTTTGTTTTACAACTCTTTTTATGCTTCTGGGCAAAGGTTGACTTTGAACTTGAACCTAAGGTCTGTGTTAGCCAGCTGCCCTGATTTACACAGCAACATTTAACAATAAAAAATACGTTGAAATTAAACAAATTAAAAACATTAAAAATTTCAATATTGTCTTTTTTTTATTGTGAAGCTGACAGCAACAATGACCACCTCCTAAGCCTGTTTCCTTTTTTTAAAAGTCTGTATTCCAGCTCTATGGAGCAGTGATAATAAAGTGCTTGGCTAATGTGAAGCCAGCTGTAAGAGCACTGGTGTGTAAATTTGCAAGTCACCCTGGCTGCCTGTGCTTGGCCCCTCTCCATAGAAAGCCACCCTGATCTTTGTCCTCACCATTCATGCACTCAGTTGTTGGCGAAAAGCCTGGCCAACTAACTTTGTTTGGGCTGAGTCTTTCCCGTTTCTTCACACACACACGCGTACACACTCCTATCAGATATTGTATTTAAATAAGATGCTGGCTTTTACTATTACAGGCTGACCTTTTGACACATGTCCTCCTCATCTATCCATACTGATCAGTGTCATAACTTTTAGCTGTTGTGGCTTAAGGAAAACCGTGTTGCGCTGACACATAACTGAGGCCGCACTCCCAGAATACTCTTTGCCTTCGGCTGGCTTCTACATTTTTTTTCTCCCATTTTTCTTTTTTTGATAACGCAGCAGCTAATGAGATTTGACACTGTCCTAATCTGCGATGGTCAGTGCATTTGAGCTTTGTGTTGTTGGAAAATAACAGAATGCAGCTGAGCAAGAGATTTGAACTCGAGGCAGCATGCATGACTAGGCAATGTCCCTCTCAATGTTTAATTGCTCTATGCTGTTATTTCACGGAATAAAAAAACCACACACACACTCACTCGCCAGTTTGATTCTGTGTGTGTGCGCGCACACACCCCTTCCTACCCACATCCAGTGGGACTGGACAGGCTTTCCAGTGCGTTCCTCTCACAGATGGAGCCAGATGAGTGATCCCAGCAGCCAGCTCTGACCAGCCCTCAGCTCCCTGGGGCAACTTGTAGTAGTGCTACTACAAAGCTTTCTTCATTTTAGTCCTCTTTTGCTGGTATTGCCTCTCCATGTACCCAGAATATTCTTTATTCTTTATCAGAGGGCTAATCTTAATCGTATAGGGTACCTTTTATAGATTTCAATGTAATCTCTGTGTGGACTATGGGGAAAAAAGAAGTGAAGCAGCAGGCGGTTATGATGTTCAATAAAGTATATGCTCTTAGTTTATGACTATTGATCTGGTATTAGAGGCATCTTTCTGACATCTGAGTGCATGAGTACTCAAAAGATAGCTCTTAAATGGGAAGTGTGCATGCTTAAACCGCACAGTTGAGTCATGGGAATTGGAACGGTAGGAAATTCCACTTTTGGATGCAGACAATCTGTCTGAATGTCTAGCCATGTTAGCTTTTCTATAATGTGCTAACTTTATTTGTCCTCCCTCTCCATCCCTTCCTATTTTTTTCCTCTTCCCCATCACACTCCCTGTCTCCCACTTCTTGTTCCTAAAGGTTTGAGTCAAGAGAAGGTAGCCACCTTTGTTAAGCGGATGCGGTCTGAGCCGCGTTATCTGCTGGCCCAGAATGTGTCAACCTGCATCGACCCGTTGGAGGTTTGTCTTCACCGGCAGACTGTACAGGATACTGTGCACATCTTCCAGCACTCTATCCCCACAGAGGGCAAGCCCATCACCAACCAGAAAAACTCAGGTAGGACATGATGTAATACAGTTACATAGACATGTACTCTGCACAAGATGCATGTTTAAAGTGTTTGTATTAGCAGGGCTGAACGGCTTGGGTAAGGTGTTCCTGAAATGCCATGTTTCAGGGGGGACTGGCCATCGCCCAAAAGGATTCAGGTTTCCAGCCACGTGCCCTTCACAGTGCCAGGTGGATGCCAAAAGTGATTTTTGAAATTAGGGTTGTTCAGAAATCAGTTTTGATTTGTATCATTAAGGAACTCATTAGCCTGGAAAACTTTAGAGCGTTTGCTGGAGAACCCCGTCCTCATAGCAAAAAATGGCGTGAGTTATGAGGTGCTAACTACGGCACCCCTGTGCCACCCGTGTGCTATTTATCCAAAACTAGTCAATGATCACCCAGGGGCCGCCTGATGCTTTATGTGCTTCTTTATGTGTCGGGGTGCCACTTATTGTCCGTTTCATTTAGAAATCATTCCCATTTTTAGTTTTCATTGTCATCTTTGCACCTGCCGCCAGTCATAGATGCTCAAAATGTTTACACCTTGTTTGATGGTGATAAATAAACTTCTATGTGCAAAATATTTAGCAGTAACTTTTTCTTAAAACAGTTCGTTTTATGTGTTTATTTTTAATATCAAGAATGACGTGGATAATTTCTATATTTGCATTTGGGTGTATTATTCTGTACCTGTCAGTCAACCCAAACAGCTGCTTAACACACTGAATTTAGTAATGTTGTATATTTGTCGTCACAGCAACATTTTACAGTTCAAACCGTTGACAGTTGGCGCACACCGGTTAGTGATGTCATTTCTGAAGCAAATAACGCTTTATTTTCCTAACATATAATTTGATTGCAGTTGTACATCACAGACGATGAATAGACATGGCTGGATATTTGATTAATTATTGCCAGGAGTGGGAATCACAGTCTTAACTCAAGATATGACAGTAATACGTAGCCGATGATGATAATAATGCTATGATTACACAGTGATTCTGTAATAGTCAAAACATTACAGCTGATTCTTTACGGTATCGGTGTATTGTGACACAATTATCTGTGATATTTACTCAGATGAAAAACAGATTTTCTATGGCAACCTCTAAAGGGGGCAGAT